CACAGTTCACCCCGGTTGGCAAAACAAACCAAAAAGTCAGTCACTAAAAATGTTTACTGATGCCACCAAGTCACTCTCTCTCTAGCATGCCTCATCCCACAGTAATGCAACTGAACCAGGAAAACACTGCATTACAGTGGTCCCTCGCTAAAACACGGTTCACCTTTCGCATCCTCACTGCTGATTTTTTTATTTTACAGCACATTGTGTTCTTCGTCCTAATTGGCTGTAGACCATTGTCAATCAATCTCGTGCCATGTCTCCTGTACAGAATGCATTCAGCCTATCAAATTTACATAAATCTTCGATCGCTAGCAGTGTGAGTTTTATCCCCAACAAACACAGCAATGTTGATGAAACATTTTGCACCGTCATTCTATAATACTGGACTTATTTTTCTACAAAGGTTTGAACTTTGAGAGTGTTTAAACCAGAGGGAAAGTGTGAAAATGTTCATGCCTGTCTGAGAAAAGTGTATAAAGTGTGTAGTGGGCAGTTTTACAGCCTTAAAAAATCTATAATAATTGTAAAAAATAAAGCTGAATACTTCATGAATTTCACCCATCAGTAGCTCTATCAATTGCAAAGACAACTTCAAATCAAATAAAAATCATACAAATCTTATTATCTCTAAATAATGGCTAATATAATGTGTGTAACATACTATATCTCTTTGGATTGTTACAATAAACCTGCTCATCATCTGTTCATTATTTAACTTCTGACAGTACCCGTTACTCTTTGCCAGGGTACGGACATCTACAACAGACAGGCTCAGCCCCTTTCTATAGGTGGAGAGAAAGTGCATAAACAAAAGCACACACCACAAACAACAAAGGTAGCTCATGAATGATTGGCAGGTTCAGCCCACACATTCTGTCCACTTTCTATTCCCACAGAAATGACTTCGGTGTCTGTTTGCAAAAATAATTTTTCTAACAATTTTCTGTTTATGTATTTCTGTCATTATTGTCCTCAGGTGAGCAGCAGGTCAGCATTGGCGTCTCTATACCAGCTGAAGGTTCATGACACAATGTGGTGACAAACTGTCTACAATGAGGCTACTATCAGCTGCAGCTCTTTGTCTGACTAACAATGTAACATGCTTTGTAGACCACTGAATTCATCCTGTGCTGACCATTATGACATTTGTCAAATGGAGATCACACAACAAACATGACTTACTTGAT